CCAGCTTAGGTTAAAACTTCCCCAAGGTACAAACTATTTTACCCTTTGCCCTTGGACTTCCACTGCCACCACCAAATGTTTATCTGGGTTTATTTATTAGGAAAGCATTGTTTGGAAACGTCTTTCCCCCCAAAATCCTCCCAACCCTTGCACCCCACTTCCTGGGGAAGGTTTGGTAAAAATCCTCACCAATTTGCATAGGTGACCACAGACGCAAACCCTTGGATCGTAAGAACAATGAAAAAGCATTCCATTTCTGAAAAGAAGGATTTTAATAGAAGTAAAAATGAATCACCTCTGTAAAATCAGGAGGGTAAATACCTTACAGGGTAATTAAATTCAAAACATAGAGAATCCCTCTAGGCAAAACCTTAAGTTACAAAAAGACACACAGACAGGAATATCCATTCTATTCAGCACAGCTTAATTTCTCAGCCATTTAAAGAAATCATAATCTAACGCATCTCTAGCTAGATTACTTACTAAGTTCTAAGACTCTATTCGTGTTCTGTCCCCAGCAAAAGCATCACACAGACAGACACAGACCCTTTGTTTTTCTCCCAGCTTTTGAAAGTATCTTGTCTCCTCATTGGTCATTTTGGTCAGGTGCCAGCAAGGTTATCCTAGCTTCTTAACCCTTTACAGGTGAAAGGATTTTTCCTCTGGCCAGGAGGGATTTTAAAGGTGTTTACTCTTCCCATTATATTTATGACATGCACATCCACTGAATCCCCTATTGAAGCAAATTAATCAACTTACATCCTGTTTTCTAACCCACTTACATCTGATATGTAATGTAAATCATCATTAGTTTAACCGCAGAATCTGGCCTATTGTATTCGTGAGGAATTTTTTTTTCTCATCTCAGCTTCTCCTGCTTCATCCTGTAGTGAAGTTAAGAGCCTGTGTTTAGACATTACAGGCTAGTGGCATAAAAGTTATTGTGATGTAACAAATTCAGCATTAGGACTTCACTTCAGGATCAAAAAAGGAAGAGACAATTGGGCGTAAGAGAGTATTCACTGCTTTAAACACAACTGATCTCTTTGTGGATATTTGAAACATACCCCAAAATTAATCAGTGTGAGAACCTTCTATTTCCTGGGCAATAAGAAAGGGGGAAAAAACATAAGTAGCACTTACCAGGTGTAAGAGAAAAGCTACAGCTACCAGTTGCAAAATGGCTACAATAGTACTGCAGCTGTTTGGCTCTGCCAAATTTAAAAGATCAGCCACAGAAAGGAATGCTGGGGGAAAAAATCCTGTAAGAGAGCAATCCTGAGGAGTGGAGATTTAGTGTAAAACTAGGAAGTCACTAATGGGATGGGGACTGCTTTGATCTAATGCAATAGTGACAGCTACAACACTAATGAATTGTTTGCTCAGCTCTATTAACCACTCTAAGCCCAGCTGAGTTTATGAGGGCTGCTGTTAGTGTTGTCTGCATCACTGGAGTTCTTATTTTTTATATATGTACATTTAGTTTCATGAGCCTCTTTCTATCATAGCACAATCACAGTGAAAGTTAGGCCACTGAACTTACTTTATTCTCTTTGCTCTTAAAACATCAAGACAAAAATATCACTTTATTCCGTGTGTATGTATATAATGTGGGTGTTAAAAAATTGCTATTTTATTAATATAGTCTGACAATTTTGATTTTCTGCCTTCATCTTCCAAATGTCCAGGGGGAGAAAATGTGGGGGTTTTGTTTGTTCATTTCAAGCAACATAAGAACACATATTGTAATCCTGTGAACTAGAGGTTCCTTCAACTAAACCTTGAGTATTCCTGAGAATCACACGCACTTTTCTTTTTTTCTTTAAAAAAAGAGAGCAATCAGATAAACACCCATTCTGAAGAATAAATAAGGCCAGCCAGCCTTATTCTGAAGAATAAGGCTTGTAATTCATTAGTGTTGTAGCTGTCACTATTGCATTAGATCAAAGCAGTCCCCATCCGAGCCGCCCTCCCTATGAGTACCCACCACCCTGCCCGCAGCCAGCCCCCATCTCCAGCCACCCCCTGCCTGCAGCCAGGCCGCATCTCCAGCCACCCCCCGCCCACAGCCAGCCCCTGCCTCCAGCCAGCCTCGTACCCCTGCCCACAGCCAGCCCCCATCTCCAGCCACCCCCTGCCCACAGCCAGCCCCTGCCTCCAGCCACCCCCTGCCCGCAGCCAGCCCCTGCCTCCAACCAGCCCCGTACCCCTGCCCACAGCCAGCCCCTGCCTCCAGCCACCCCGCACCTCTGCCCACAGCCAGCCCCTGCCTCCAGCCAGCCCCGCACCCCTGCCCGCAGCCAGCCCCTGCCTCCAGCCAGCCCTGCACCCCCTGCCTGCAGCCAGCCCATCTCCAGCCACCCCTACACACCTGCTTCAATGAGGGGGGCAGGGAGCAGCTGGGACCCACACATGTGCACACCCTAGGGTGACCAGACAGCAAGTGTGAAAAATCAGGACAGGGGGTGGGGGGTAATAGGACCCTATATAAGAAAAAGACCCCAAAATTGGGACATCTGGTCACCCTAGCACACCCCCAAGGAGTGACAGGGACCCACACACATGTGAAACAGAGCTCATTTCTAGTTCAGGCCCATCTTTTTAAAAAAGAATTTTAGGTAGGGTTAACATACGTCCGTATTTTCCCGGACATGTCATACTTTTTGGTTCTTAAATTTATATTTTTAAATTTTAAAAATTCCTCCCGGGAAAATATGGAGGTATGGTAACCCTACTGGTACAAAAAATACATTCTGTGGCACATCCCCTAAACCAGAACTTTTTATAGGGAACCAGTTGTTAAGATTTTGGCAGCTCATCACTGGCGACAGGGGATGGATCACTCGATGATTACCTGTTCTGTTTATTTCTGTTGGGGCACCTGACATTGGGCACTGTCAGAAGACAGGTTACTGGGCTAGATGGGCCTTTGGTCTGACCCAGTATGGCTGTTCTTATGTTCTTATTTGAGAATATATTTATTTTTCTGTTGCTTGCATTTTTTCCTTCTCTCTCTCTACTTCACATATTTTCTTCTTTGACTTTCCTTCCCCTTTGACATTTTCTCAGTGTTTGTCCCTATTACATCTATAGAATTGACAGACCATTGCACTTCTTTCACAAATAGTCATTGTCCAATAGTAAGGTGACCAGATGCCCCATTTTTTAAAGGGAGTCCTGGTTTTTGGGACTTTTTCTTATATACGTGCCTATTACCTCCCACCCCCAGCCTGTTTTTGCACAGTTGCTATCTGGTCACCCTATCCAATATCAACATCTTACAATCTTCCATTTACCTGTGAAATAAGGCATTTCATTGCCATGTTAATGCCTACATTATCCTACTCATTATTTTCCTTTGTTTATTGATTACCTTTTCTTTTAATCTTCTGGAGCTGATCAGAGACTTTTCATAAAGATGCATACTGCATATTAGTAGCCTCAGAGACTATGTGGTCCTCCTGCCCAGATCACTAAGACCTTTTCTTAGCCATATTTCACCACTGGTACATCTCCACTGGAGGTAGCAATGGTGGAAGCTGTAGTGTAGACAGGACATGGGAATTTTTAACCAGCAAGTACGGCTACACTACAAGGTGGTAAAAGCACATGAGTCCTGTCTACATTACCACTTCCACTACTGGTCTCACCAGTTGAGCTGCACCATTGATGGAGTTTTCAAATGTAGATTGGCATAGAAACCTGCTCTCACACCTAACACATAAATAAAAGGTAAGCATTGAATCTCTCAGTAAAAGGGACATTTTTCCCCAAGATGTAGGCTTTATCTTCTTCAGCATTGTTTACATTAGAAAGGTTTGCCAGTACAGCTATACTGGCAAACTCTCCTAACATAGACACAGCTTCTGCTGGGGAAAAAAAAGAATGCTTTTGCCCATACAGTTTATACCAATTCCCCAAACAGAATATGTTATGCCACCAAAAACATCTTTTTGCCTGTATCATTGCATTTACATTAGGGCTCTTATCAGCATGGAAATGTCATAAAAATAATCACATCCCAACCAACATTGTTTTACCAGCAAAAGTTTTCAGTGTAGACCTACCAAGTCTTAATAAAAATTATGATCACTTTAACAAAAAATCCTGGGAGATTATTGCTAGAACTTTTAAATCTTGCAAGGTAATTGTGTATTAAAAGACAATGATCGGTTTTGAAATCTTTCTAGAAATAATGTTTTGCTTTTAGTTTTCAATATTCCTTTTACTTCCCATTGCACACGAGGCCATCTCAACTACAATGCCAAGGGAATGCAACCAACAGAACAGAGTCAAAGTCAGTTTCCAGATATGTGAAAGGACAGTACATGGATAAAGAAACCATAAGTGTGCAGGTTAATCTGCTGTTCCATAAAGAACAAATACTGTAGTTACTATAGAAGCTGTCTTATCTCTTGGTACTGTACTTTCACAATAGTACATTTGGGAAACAGCACCTTTAACACTGACCAACTTTCAAAGAAATTATAGTATTATCTACAATGTTCTAAAGGATCATCTTTCAACATATTTTCTCCAGATTGTATTCTACATAATGTTTCTCCAGATTGTGTTATACACAATGTTTGCTTTTGAATATTTTTGGGAAAGAGACCCAAGGGTAGGAGACTGAATATTAGAAGTGAAACAGTTGAGGCAAATCAAGTGTGGCAGCTCTCTGGTAACAATATTAGTTTTGTTGTGACAATGCAACAGTTTATGGGCACTATTCATATCTCCACAAATGTTCCCATACAAACTCATCTAATACAGGCAAGAAGGGATTCAGCATCCCTTTGCTGAACACAAGCAAATCTTTCCCTCAGCTCCACCTCCTCCTGCAAACAGGAAGTCTTCAGTATGGCATTGCCCTTTTGAATTGATTATACCATAGGCACTCCTCCTCCCACAATAATTTTAAGGAAGCTGTATATTGCTCTTATAGGTGATTAAATACCCCAGATTAATTTCAGCATTTAATAACCACAAAAGCCATTTATTGTTGTTAGATTTCAGTGTTATAAAATGTTATTCAGAGTATACGCCCAGATTAAAATAATCCCTAAACCCACAATACATGTTGAAAACTTTTTGTCCCTTGAGATTGCTGGAAGATTCTGTGCTGCTGCTTTTTTACGCACCTATAAGTGTCATTTTGTGGGGTGAGAGTCTAGGTGAATAAGTGTTTGTAACTGCCATCTATTTGGGATGATGCAACTGGACTCTTTCACCCCCTAATGCCCTTGTGTAGGACAGGCCAGAATTTTACCCATATTGAAGGCATTTGATTTCAGCATTTGATCAAGAAACTTTTTTAATATTTTACATTTTATGTTGTGTTATATAAAGAACTCTTGTCTTTCTGGTCCCCAAACACATTAGAAACATTTTAATACATACATACATACAACCTTCAAAGTTGATGCAGTAAGAGGACAGCACATTTTGCTATGGACTCATCTGAAGTAGCAATATTCTGTCAGAAGACAGTGTGTCATGAAAGTAATAGGGATTTGCAACAGTGCAGCATGCTTCAGAAAGACTGCATTGGTTTGCTTGTTACATGTTGCAGCACAGTGCAGTGTGCTGTAGAATACTGCAGGAAGATGCATGTTACACTGAATTGAGACATTGCAGGAAGCTGTGGTACACAAGACAAAAAGGACTGTAATATGGATTAGCTGCAGCAACTGGGAATTTCCCATGTGCCTTCTTGGGAAGATGAATTCGGGGATAAAAAGTTCTGGTTTCACTTTTCAGCCTGGAACTGAAGTATCACACATCTCTCCATAGCTTCTTACTAGTCTCTGAGACCCAAGCCATGGTCATTGCCTAGAGTTGCCAACTCTGACTGAAGCTATCCCAGGAGATATTTTTTTCCAACATGACAATGTCATTTTCGTAAAATATCCTATTAAAATCTCCTGGATTGCTTTTAGTAGTCACCAGCAGATTGATGCCAATTCTGGAAAACTCCAGGCCAAACCTGGAAGGTAGGCAACCTTATCATTGCTTCATCAAGGTCTCAGCCTGGTTTCATACTCCCAAACAAGATGAAGACAATTGGAATGGTTTAGATGATGTCAGAGTAGTGACTGTTTTCCTTGGCGAAACTATAGCGTAACAGTCTTACTTCACGGCATGAATGAAATTACTTAATGAAACTATCAGAGAAGGAAGATTCGTAATTTGCCAGGAAAAATACTGTAATGTCTTAGTGTACTTGGAAGCAAGACACAAAGCCAGAATTACCAGGTAGTAAATCATAGAATCATAGAATATCAGGGTTGGAAGGGACCCCAGAAGGTCATCTAGTCCAACCCCCTGCTCGAAGCAGGACCAATTCCCAGTTAAATCATCCCAGCCAGGGCTTTGTCAAGCCTGACCTTAAAAACCTCTAAGCAAGGAGATTCTACCACCTCCCTAGGTAACGCATTCCAGTGTTTCACCACCCTCTTAGTGAAAAAGTTTTTCCTAATCCACTAACTAAGAGAACACTGGTGCCTTTCTTATAAAATGGAGGTCCGCAGTTAATATAAATGGAGTCTAATTTTGACACATCATGCTAGGGAATCACAACTACCATGAATATATTTTTATAAATAAAGCTTTCACATTTAAACAGAGATTCATATTAAACTAAATGCTCAGATTGCGTTGGAACCTTTGAAGCTAATCTTGAAGAGTCAGGCATAACCACAACTCTTATTAGAGCTGGTCAGACTTAGTTTGCCTAATTTCAAACCCACTCAAATAGCACAAGTACACAAGTTAAATTCAGATGGTACTGCGTTCATATTCCACACAGGAGAAAGAGTGACAAAAGAGGAGAGAAGAAATAAATCCACTAAAAACAATGTAATATATGGAACAGAGAATGGAGAGAGAAAAGGGCTATTAAAAATAGCTATTGTATCAAAGGAATACATCAATAAAATGTCATCTATGGGGAGCTCACTTAAGGCAGCCTTTATTCTGAGGGGATTAATTTATCCTAAATCCATAGCACAGTCTTTCATATAGCTGAACTTTAAAAAAAATCACCTTGGGAAAATGGCACAGAAATTTTCGCCAGTCTCCCAAAATAGTTTACAAAATCATGAACTCCATGCAGCTCATCCAGCCCTGGTTCTCATGTTCTGAAATTGAGCTGTGAAATGTATTTCATAAGAAGAGAGATTTACTAAATTCTCCCTGATGTACGGGATTGAAATTCTACCCTTTGGGACTTCAGTACTCCTGCTCCTTAGCCAATAGATGTTTATTTACCACCATATAACCAATGAATAAATCAACTTATTCATACAATCTCATTGTACAAGCCTCATAAGTATATCTAACTGTATAATTTAGAAAGCATAATATCTTTTGAATACAGTGCAACTTCAAAAGGAAAAGGGAGTAGAATTAGACCTTCATGTAAACTCTGCATTGTGAGATGAGATTTATGCAAAGAAGGCATGACAGAATACAGCCACAGTCAGTAGAATGATGCCATTGATGTTCACAACATTTCTCCAGATTGGCCTCTCAGAAGTGTCAGTCAGTTTCTTCTCCATTGCTTCCTGTTCCTCTTTGCTCAGTTTGGGACCTTTTTTCTGATCTAAGCCACAGAACCAGTTGTAGGCCTTCTTACAGCATCCTTGCTCTTCATCACCTTGTTCTGTGATAGAAAAAAGAGCACAGTGGTCAAGTAACATGGTGTATGTGGCTCCATAAGACTGGCATTAAAACAAGGTCTCAGTGATACAGAGTATTCTTTATAGCACTGTTTTTCGCATGCGGCCATCAGGGCCTTTTCTTGCGGCCACAGCCTCCTGTGCTGTGATTGGGAGGGGGGGGTCCCACAAAGCAGTAACCCTCTCCCAGGGCTGCTGCCCCCACAACCCCCAGAGACACAAACGCTGGAGGTGCAGGCAACTGGTGAATTCACCACTTTCCTGGGGGCAAGGGAGGCAGGCTTCGTGCTCCATCCACACAGTGGCAGGCTCTGGTTCCAGTCTCCGGAACCAGGCTCACCACCCCCACCATCATCACTGGGCCCTGCTGCCTCCCTGCCCACCTCCCCATCCAAGACTTAATTTGTCCCAGGGCTTGCGGGAACTGAGTAAGTCTGCTGTGAAAATGATACTAACAAACATACAAATACCACTTTTCACAGCAGAAGACTTACCAGCTAGCAAGTCTTAGGGGGGGAAAAAGCACAACCAAAAAAGAAAAAGAAACAACAAACAACAACAGAAAGACAAGAACACGCAAAGTGCCTTATTTGTGTTTCTATTCTGTTTAGGTCCAGTAAAGAATACAGACAACTGTAAATTATTTTTATTACTGAGTCTGGAATAAAACCCTACATAAATAATACACAATGATTTGGACATGTATATGTGCATATTTATTTGTTTTTCCAAAAGTTAATTATTTTAGGAAAAATTGTCAGCACGGCCACCAGCAAGAATTGGTGGCTGCACTCTGAGGCCACCAAAAAATTTGTTGTGAGAAGCGCTGCTTTAGAGCCTCTCGTAAGTGAAATAACAGCTCCAATTTGTGGTCTTAATGATGAAAAATGCTTAAGGAGAGATGGGGGCTGTAGGATCAGATGAACACTATGATTCCACAGCAGACATGCAAAGTGAGTGATTTATGATCACCAAATTGCTCTGTAGCTATTGCTAATAATTTTGAACCCTACAAACCCCTGTGCTTTCCAGTTCACTAATTGTTTGTTCTCAGTTTGCAGTGACATAGCTGAAAATAATGGTAGCTCACAAATGCTAGAGATCACTAAGTTGATTCAAGCACATTATAAATACTTAAACATACAGGATTGAAAAGTGTTGGGTACAGAGTAATGGGCCAGATCTTCACCTCCTCGCCCTCTCTAACTACATCTCCTTATTCTTTGTGCTGCTATGGAGTAGGGAGAGAGGAAGGGGCCACAGGGAGCCATATGGGGCACCCTGGGTCAAGGCTGCACAAGGACAGCCCTAATTTACAACAGTGAACAATCTGGCACAGCAAAGGTCCTCTCTGCCGCATCCACTCTCCTTCCCTTTTCTCCAACTTGCTCCCTCTCTCCCTTACATGGGGTAAGGTTAGGGAGGGCAGCTGTGTAGGAGGCAGCTCCAACTTTCTGCTTGCAGAAAGATCTCCTGCCGGGAGGATTCTCCACCAGCTCTGTCTGGCTGATTTAAGACAACTTTGCCCTGCTTACATGGTGTGCACAGGCCTTAGAGGATAGAGACACCAGCCATGTCTCTTCAGCCTGAGATTGAGAAGTAGGTCACTGATTTGTGCAGGGTTTACATCTGCTTATTCAAATTTTTTTGTATTATTTCTCTTTTTTATTAAATGGCTGAATTCACTGATGCTTTCAACCTTGTGGAAGTGAGCTTTGTGTCAGAGCCTGAAGACAGGCAGAGTTTTGTGTAAATTTCCCAATGCAGTTCTGGCAAAACACCTTCACCCTGCTGTGCACACCACCTTTGCTGTTCCAAAACCTACCCCCCTACACACCACTTCCAAATGCATCTTCATTCTGTCCTTTAAAGTGTAAGGCCCACACACAACTCTTGCAACCACATCACTCCTGAGCTGTACCACCCCATTTTGTTCTAGCCCTGGGCTTCTCACCTAATTACATGAAGGCTTTTGTGCTGTGCACAAAAATCAACTGGAACTAGATTGTCATCTTGTAATTAATTTCACGGACAATCTACACCAGATCCAATTAATGGACAGTGGTGAAAAATCTGTGCATTAACTCTGCCTACTAGCCCTTTAGCATCTGAGTTTTCATGAGTGTACAGGGCACTTTCACTGTTTCTTCAGGAATGAAGTTGGGAACCTCAAATACACTGATGGCTTCCACAGATCTTAAAAGAGAATGCTATTCAGAAATCACCTGATACATCATCATTGCTCTCAGGTTCCTCAGTCTTCTCATTTGCATCCAGGTCAATACGTTCCTCCTTGCTGTTCCGCAGAGACCAGCACAAGCGGTAAAGCTGCCATTAAACAAAATGAGTTTACAAAGCTGCAAGCCTTAGAATGCTGAGACCAGCACATTGAGATCAGATTAGGACTTGGGGGTCTCATGAATGTTTGCTAAATAATATTCAGGGATTAGCAAGGTTCTCGTAAGACCCGGGACAGATAGTGAAGGAGATTATTCCTCTTTCCCTTTCTTAACACCTTCATCCCTTAAGTCTTTGCTACAATGCACAAAATGCACCATCTATTGTGTGTGTGTCTCAGAAATCAAATTCCCTTCTTATTGCATATTTTTGCACTACAGTAGAGCTTCAGCGTTATGAACACCTCTGAAATGTTTGTAATTCTGAACAAAACATTAGGGTTGTTCTTTAAAAAGTTTACAAATGAACATTGACTTAATACAGCTTTGAAACTTTACTACACAGAAGAAAAATGCTGCTTTTCACCATCTTAATTTAAATGAAACAAGCAAAGAAAGTTTCCTTACTTTGTCAAATCTTTTTTTTACTTTTTTTTTTAAGTAGTTTACACTGAATACAGTACTGTACTGTATTTGCTCTGTATGTGTGTGTGTCTTTGTTGCTGCCATATTGCATACTTCCAGTTCCAAATGAAGTGTGTGGTTGACTGGTCAATGCATAACTCTGGTGTTTGTAAAACTGCGGTTCCACTGTACATAATGTCTCCAAGGTGTTGCTAGTTAGAGTACTCTCCAGAGCACTGGTTTTCCTAGCAGAGTGTGCTCCATTTCCAGAGATATCTGGACCAAGGAATAATCTGAGGAAGATGCAAAACTTCTCTCTGAACCCAGTTAACTGGGAGGATCCTATATAATTTGTAATTTGTATAATGTAAAATTCAAGGGTAGAATATACTTAATGCTACTTTCAGTGTAAATTAAAGTGACTGGTTTCATAGATCTCCCATATCTCGGGGAGCAGGAGAGCAAGTGAAAGAGCAAGAGAGACAATGATACTCACATGTACATCAGGAATGGGTTTAGTTATCAATGAGATACCCAGAATGATGATGGTGGAGATCCCAAAAAGGATTATAGCGAAGTACAGGTAGTGAATTCCACAAATGATCTTTGGACAGTTGCTGGGGTTTACACAGCTTCCAGTTCCATAGGCAAACTCTGCAATCATTCGAACCAGCCCAATGACCAGCCCAACAATCAAGCCCCAGAAGGCACCCTTCGAAAGAAAGTAACAGGCAGATTTATCAGAAAGCTGTTGTGGATATGTAAATACATTACCTTCTTTAACCTACTAATGTCAATGCAATGTGCACTACTGCCAGTGGACACGTGAACAACCTACAGCACCAAGGGATTAAGAACAAAGAGAACATAAGCCTTCTTATTAACCAGACGCAAACCAGTTATTAAATTGAACTCCTAGTGTAAATGCACATCATGTACTGGCTAGGAAATCCAAGAGAATCTCCAAAAGCCTTTGAAAAGGTCAAAGTGCTTTTCCTGGCTTTAAAAATAATTCTTCTCTTTATATAACCACACCTTAGAACCCCGCCTCCCTCCCCTACAAATGTAGGGTGACTGTCGGGTGGCTTGGGAGGATTAGCCTGTACACGCTACTATGTTATTCAAGGTTTGCTCCTGAGTGCTGAGTTGCTGGCAAGGGTTTTTTTAAAAGAACAGCAGCACTGCAGTGTTTGTTTTGAAAAGAAATTATCTCTCAAGAATGACATGAGGTTTGCGCTCAGACATTAGAAGAAAAGGCTCTGCAACCTCGACATGTCCCAATAAAATTGCTAGATTCTTTGGCCTGTGATATGAAGGTTAGACTAGATGATCACAAAATTCCTTTCTGGCCTTAAAATCTATTAAATCATTACAATCCTCTGCCCCCACAGCACAGCTCACATTCAAGCTGTTTTTGAAGTTTGCAGACTGTCGGATGAACTTCTAGCATTTTAGATCCTTATCTGAACTCATGCTGTGCAGTAACTGAGATTTTTCAAGATCTGTTTCCCTACAGGTGCTCCCCTGTAGATGCAATAGCATCCCTGCGCCTGGGATTGGAGATCTTCACTAGCAGGACCTGTTAGGCCGCACATGGGCTCCTCCTCCCAGTCTCGTGCTGAGAGTGGCGTCAATATAGCGCTATGTGGTCCAACTGCTGTCAGTTCCTTCTCTGCCGCAGAGTCAATGTTTGAACTCTGAAGCAGTGGGGAGGAGGGCGAGTAGTGGAGCACACATAGGAAGACACATCTCAAATAATCTCAGTTGCTGCATAGGTGAGTAACTCTCTTCTTCTTCTTCAAATAGTGTCCCTATGGGTGCTCCACTGTAAGTGACTGGAGAGCAGTGCCCCTAGTTGGAAGGCTGGGAATGATCTCTACTGAGGAGGACAGGCCTGGGTGTCCTAGTAGGGCACCTGATGCCGTGTTGTGGGTGATCACGTACTGATGACTGAAGGCGTCTATGGACACCCAGGTGGCTGCCCTACAAATGTCCGTAATCAGCACATTATTCAGGAAAGCTATTGATATGGAGAGCAATCGAGTGCCAGATAGGGGCCGAAGTTTGTGATGTTGGTAGCAAAGGTGGATGCACCCCAAGATCCATGTAAAAAGATGTTTGGATACAGCTGAACCTTTTGATCTTTCAGCAATAGAGAGGAATAAATGTGGCCATTGTCTGAACAATTTGGTTCTGTCAAGGTAGAAGGCTAGTGCCCATCTGACCTTGGGCTGGTTACCATGTGGCTCAGGGAAGAGGAAGGGAAGGTGGATAGGTTGGTTTGGATGGAATGAGGATGGTATCTTGAGTAAGAACTACTGGTGAGGTCAGAACATGACCTTATCTTCATAGAAGATTGTGTACGGGGGTGGGTGGGTGGGGGGAGTATGCCGACAGGGCATAATCAGTGGACAGACTGCCATGCACAAGAGGTTAGGATACCATATCTGTCGTGGCCATGTTGGGGCTCTGAGGATGATCCTCACTCATTCCACTTGTATCTTGTTGAGCACTTTGAATGGTACGGAAAAGGGTGGGAAACCATAGAGGAAGGCATCCCTGAGAGATTGGTGACCTAGACCTGCTCTTGAGCAAAATTGTGGGCATTTGGTGTTTTGGGGAGTGGCGAACAGATCTATGTTCGGAAATCCCCAGCAACTGAATGTGTGTTGTAGGGTTCTTGTGTCCATCTCCCACTCGTGTTCTGTGAGTGAGTCTTCTGCTCAGTGAGTCTGCCATGGTGTTTAGATGTTCAAGTAGGTATGTGGCAGAGATGTCGATGCCATGTTGGATACACAAGTTCCACAATTTCAGAGCTTCTGTACATAGGGATTGGGACCTCTCTCTCCCCCCATCTGTTGATATAGAACATGCACACAATGTTGTCCGTCATTACTCTTATGGTCCTTTGCTGATTATTGGCAGAAAGTGTCAGCATGCATTGCAGACTGCACATAATTCTAGGAGGTTGATGTGCAACATGGATTCTGCCGGGGATCACTTGCCCTGTACTGTGTGAGTCTGTAGATGTGCTGCCCATCCAAATAGTGAGGCGTCGGTTGTCAATATCAAAGACAGTGTTGGTTGGAGGAAGGGGACCCACATGCAGACATTTCAGGGTTGTGTCCAGTCTAATGAGTCCTTGATCTTGATTGGTATTGAGAGCAGTATGTTTAGGCTATGTCTGTGGAGCATGTATTGTGTTTGTAGCCATTCCTGAGGGCAGCGCATGTGCAATTTTGCATGTTTCACCATGAACTTGGCCACTACCATATGACCAAGCAGCTGTAGACAAGTCCTGGCGGAGTTCCTTGGGCTGGTTCTCACAGTGGAGATGGGGCCGATTATTGTGGAAAATCTGTGCACTCTGAGAAAGGCTCTGGCCTTTATAGCATCCAGTTGGGCCCCAATAAATTCCAGATGCTGTACTGGCATCAGTACCGATTTTTGTATGTTTATTTGGTGGCTGAGGTCTGAGAAAAGGTTCATCTGGATGGAGCCTTGAGGAGGCAGTCATCTAGGTATGGGAATATTACAATCCCTTGTTTGGAAAGGTGCGCTGCCACTGCTGTGAGGACGTTGGAAAATACCCTGGGTGCTATAGAGAGGTCAAAGGGTAGTACCTTTTATTAATAATGGTCGGACCCCAGATGAAATCTGAGGAATCACTGTGGAAAGGGTGATGTGGAAGTACGTGTTTTGGAGGTTGAGGGCCCAGTCCCCCTGTTCTAGTGCTGGGATTATTGTTGATAGTGTGACCATCTTGAAGCATTGTAATTTGATAAACTTATTGAGGTTCCTCACGTCTAGGATAAGTCTTCACCTGCCGGATTTCTTTTGGATCAGAAGATAATGGGAATAAAAACCTTTCCCTCTGTGTTGGAATGGGACCAGTTCTATAGCACCCAGTCACAGAAGGTGGTTTATTTCTTCTTGTAGAAGATGTTTGTGAGAAGGGTCCCTGATACGAGACAGGGAAGAGGGGTGTGGGTTAGGGGAGAGAGAGGAACAGAATAGAATACCCCTTGCTGATAGAAGAAAAAGAGTACTTGTGGCACCTTAGAGACTTAAATTTATTTGAGCATAAGCTTTCATGAGCGACAGCTCACTTCATTGGATGCTCACGAAAGCTTATGCTCAAATAAATTTGTTAGTCTCTAAGGTGTGACAAGTACTCCTTTTCTTTTTGCGGATACAGACTAACACAGCTGCTACTCTGAAACCTGTCCCTTGCTGATGATTTCCATGACCCGCTTGTCAGAGGTGATTTGTCGCCATGATGGCTAGAATGGAGTCAAGCGGTTGCCAGACTGATGGATTACTGGAGATGGTTTCAGCAACTGGACCGGGGGAGGCATCTCAGGACCTCGACCACATTTTCAAAATTGTTGTGTAGAGGTGGATGGGTGGGGTAAAGTTGCTTGTGCCAATGTCTGTCTGTGCTTTGGAGGAGGTCTCTGTCATCTGCATTGTGTATCTCAAAGTCATTGAAGAAGGAGGTCGAAATCTTGGAGTAGATTGATATCTACCAGTCTTCTCTTCAGCGCTGGTGTATATATGCCAGGAGAACTCAGTGTCACTCTAGAATTCATTAAAGAATGTAGGGACTCATCAGTGCGCTCAGCAAAAGAGTTTAGATCCTTCAAACTGTAGATCTTCTATCGTGGTCTGCACTTACCTGGGGAACCCTGAGAGATGGAGCCATGAAGCTCGTCTCATCACTACAGATGCTGCAATGGAGCGGGCCACTGTGTCCGCAGCATCCAGAGAGGCCTGCAGTGCCGAACAGGACAGAAGTTGTCCTTCCGCCACCTGCTCCTTTTTGTCCTCTGGAGATGTTGACTGACCTCATGAAACTTGGAATAGTTCATATGGTTATATTTAGCTAGGAGAGCCTCAATTAGCAAATCCTCTTCCTCTTCCAGTTCCTGTCGTAAGGAGCTGTCCTGGAACGGTTTTGTCATCCTTTCTCCTGCACCACATTGACTACGAGGGAGTTTGAAGTAGGATGAGAAAATAGGAATTCCATGCCCTTAGCAGGGATATAGTACTTCTTGTCCACTCACTTGCAGATAGGTGGTATTAATGCTGGGGTTTGCCAGATCACCTTGTCTGGATCCAACAAGGCCTTGTTGATTGGAAGTGTGATCTTTGCCAATGTGGAGGCCTGCAAGACGTCAAGCAACTTGTGCTGTTGCTCTCTAACTTCCTCCAGGGGGATCTGGAGAGAATCCAGAATCCTGCGGAACATTTCGTGGAACTGTTTAAAATCATCTGCCAATGTTGGAGGTGATGGCCTCATTGTGGGAGGACGAGGAGATGTGGGCTGGTGATGTAACCTCTTCCTCTGTTTCTTCATCATGCTCCTCTAGCAATTCTGGTTCAGAGTAGGAAGCCTACAGTCTGACTCTGCTCCACAGGCGGTTTGGAAAAGAGTGACCTATATGCAGCCCAAGGCCACTGTAGGGGAACAGGCACCTGGGGCTGCCTCCAGGGGTGTCCATAACAAGCACCTGGGTCATTTCTGGTCTCTATGTATCAAGGGCAGTAGTATGATTCTGTGTGGGGAGCCCTTTGAGATGATCATGGGGTGTTAGGCATGATGGAGTACTCCTCTTCTTCTTCCTCGCTGGAGAAGGGTGGAGCGGTATTCGATGGTGAAGGAGTCCGGTGTGTGATATGGACTGTTGCGAGCTTGGTACAGAAGAGCGGTGATTCTGGAGTGTCAGAGATGATTGGGTCTCTCAGGTAGCGGAAGTCTTGTGATACCAGCAGGAGCATCATCGGTACCGATGGCTATATACGTATTTGTGCAGACATAATGGATAGCGATGGTGCAGATGTTAAGTGTCTTCTGCTGGACAACCAGTAGATGGTGCCAGGAGCTTAGTGGGCACCGATTGGACTCAAAGTCATTGAGGGAGAATTTTGATGTCTGTCTCAGTGCCAAGTGATTGTGTGTCTGTTTGTGGTCCTGCCCTATTAGGGCCCTTGGATCTTAACAGTGCTGGGACTGGAGGTGTCTGGACGGTCACAGGAGCCAGGAGTTTCCCCCAAAGATGTTCAGGCTACTGACCTTGCGGGAGTTGCCTTTTTCCAAGGTGGCTGCTTGGTGAGTGAGCTGGGGGCCCGTCTCTTCTCCTCTTGATGTGAGAGAGAAGATTTTCTTTTTGTGGTGCGTGGGGGTCGGCTGATGACCATGCTGATTGTGACTGCCACGAAGGAGAGGTATCGGGGCCATGGTCGGAGGCTAGTCGCAGTGATCTCTCCATTATTAAAATTTTTGCCTCAATTCACGGTCCTTTCTGGACCGAGCCTTCAATTTGAGACATTGTGTGCACTTCTGTGATATGTGCCTCTCACCCAAACAGTGTGAGCTATGAGTAGCCATCGTTCACTGGGATGGCTTCATGACAGGAGAAGAACGTATTAAACCTGGAGGATCTGGGCATAGCTCCAGTAGGGACAGCTAGGGAAGGGCATAGAAAAGGAAACCTATGCTAATCTAAAAACAACGGGAGGGAAAGAGCCAAAGGAAAAATTATATTTTTTGTAAAAGAGGGTAAAGGAAATTTTAAAAATTTTAAGAAAACCGCTAATAACTAAGAAATAGTAGCAAAAACACTAGTATTATGAAGGACAGTAAAGACATATGCAAGACTCTGCTAAGGATTCAGTCACAGACCAAGGCAATTGAGATGGAACTGAGGGCGGTTGGACCGCACAGCTCTGTACAGATGCTGCTCATGGTGCAAGTCTGGGAGGAGTGCCTGTATGGCCCAACGGGCACTGCTAGGGAAGATCTCCAATCCCAGATGCAGGGATGCTACCACACCTGCAGTGGAGCACCCACAGGGACACTACTCAAAGAACCACCTTCAGAGATTTGTCCTTCCCTATCCATGTGTTTACCTTATCTGACACTCTCAATTCTGCACCTCCTAAATACAACAAAACCAACAGACATACAGAGCCAAGGTCACTCCTGGAGTAAGCAGATGTAGCCCTCTGACTTTAGTCAAGTTGCAGCCATTTAAAGCAGAATTTGGCCCATAGGCTAAAAAGGAGACAAGTAATGGTACAGAATTAAAAATCCTGCTGGAAATTTTCTACTTTGAACAAATTTTATTGTGTGACTATTATTGTTAAATTGTCAGAAAATCACAGAAATATATTGGACTAAGACAAGATGAGACACTCAGTTTACAGTAGAAATAAGAATCTTTCTGAAAAGTCTAATCTGGAAGATACTAATAAAAATGGGACTTTGATCCAGGCAGTGCTTCAAATTTCTTCTGCTTTTACTTGATCTCAGTATTTATTCTAATTAGGAGTGTGCTTTGGACCAAATGCTGAGGATCTTACTAGTTCTTAATCCATTTTTACTCACGACCTCAGGATTTGATCCATTACATGAGATTCAACCAAGCAGTGACTGGAAATGGAACATCCCTGCTTGGGAAATATCCACCACTACTACTATTAGTATATCCACCAATCTCCAGAGAAAGGAGTCAGAGTAACTAGAAAGCTCCAGTCTCACCTGGAAACAGTGTTATTTTGTTTATCTATTGGCTTTCCTCACCATCGCATCTGTGCGCCTAACAAACATTAATGAATTTATCCTCATGGGGACCATAGGGAAGTATTATCCTCAGTATTACATGTGGGGAAATGGAGCTACAGAGCTATGATTGGAGTGATTTTCAGAGGTGCTGAGCACACAGTTCCCACTGACTTCTGAGGGAGTTGTTCTGAGTGCTCAGCACCCCTGAAATTCAAGCTTCAGTGACCTGCCTGTGTTCTCACAGGGAATCTGTGGCACAGCTGGGAACAGAACCAAGATCTCATGAGTTCCAGGACAGCAGCTTAACCACAGGACTTTCTCCTTCTTTGTTGGAGCCGACAGAACCCATGGAAAACTTAGAAGGTTGCATTAAAGCAGTGTTTCCCAGAAATCATCCCTTCAGCATAAGTCACAGTGAAAAGGTAGGTGGTTCCAGCTTCACAACTGTCTAGGAGCCAATAAAGTCCAACAAAACCCATGCACATTTACATATATGTGGTGGAAGGGGAGTATGAGGATTCCTCAACTGAGCTAAGAGCCCCTCAAGCATTACACAATATTTACAATTCCCCTCAGGCACTGGGCTGTAGCAGGAATAGCCTCAAAGAAATTGAGAATCAAAGAAATTGAGAAACAAGGAAGGGCACTTGTCCCAGTGTACAGATGAATGTATTTTATGAACTTTTGCACACAGAGCTCTTCTCCTAGCCTGTACTTACCTCCTCATTGACCCTTTTACAGAAGATAGCAAGCAGGAAGACAGCAGCAATGGGTGGCCCCAAGTAGCTGGTGATAGACTGTATATAATCAAAGAGCTGCCCACTTTGAGCTGACTGCACCACAGGAACCCAAGCAATGCTGATACCAATTAAAGCTAAGATAAATAACCTATAAATACAATCAATAAAAAAATCTGTTAGCCACTTATTTATAAACATCAATCAGAAATACAGAAATCACAATGAACCAATCAACAATTTAACAATTCATTGCGTTAGTCAACCAGCATTAAAACATGAGCAAAAAATAACAGTAATTAACCATCAGCACTGGGGGGGAAAGCAACCAGCAATGAGATCTCACCAGATCCCCCAGCCAATCCAAAATGAGAACTCTGCTATCAAAATAATAAAATCACCTATAATAAGAAGTCACCTATAAATACAGCAATCAATAAAACAGCAGAGAGAGATGAATAAAAGAGAAATCAGCAGCATAGCTAGTGAATATGCTGTAGCTTTGTATAACTGGCATCTTGGAATGAAATTTAAATAGATTCCCTGGGATATTTGTAGGGAACAGCCACCTCCGATTAATCTTTAATTAAGAAACATGGCTGGAAACTACCCCACAGAATATCGAGAAAGACACACATGGGATTAAGCTGTCAGGCCACAAGAGGTCACTGCTGCATCACATGCATTCAGTGAAAGGTTGTTCATCAAGGCACTTAAAGGGCAGTTTGTGGTGCTCCAATATTTAATTAGGTTCCTAATGCTGGGAAAGGGCACAGTAACACTTACCTTCCAGCCAGCATGAGCTCTTTCTCAGATGCCCGGGATCGTATTTTGGTGTAGATGTCCATGGTGAACAGAGTGCTAGCACTATTAAAAATGGAAGTCAGGGAGCTCATGAGAGATGCCAGCATGACTGACAACATCAGACCTCGCAAACCTGAAACACAGAGAGAGACATGACCTGAGCTGGGGAGGGTCAGTCACTGGGAAAGCTCCATCAGTGACATCTCTTTGAGTGCATGGTCTGACCTCCCCAACCCAGCTATCTGTTAATAACTGAAGTATGCCCAGGTTATAACAACTTCATGGTACCCTACTGGGACATAAGTAGAATGATGCCTTCTAGGTCAGGAAGCACAACATTTACAATACCACATAATACCCAGGCTGGGCTAGTAGGAGATAGATAATGCCTGTGTGTATTTACTCAGATAGGAGTCCTTTGTGTACAACGTCAGGGGTCAGAGACACCCCCCCACAAAAACACACTCTTGTCGTTTATACTGCCTGATTGGACTCTGGGTCACTGGGAGAGAAAGAACACCACCCAGGAATAACTTCAGGAGGGCTGCACTTTCTGTTCCCAGACCAGTGAGTTTAGCGGAGGAACTGGAAGTACATCCCTCAACACAGAGATCCTGCAGAAGCTGCCTCTTAATAACTGGCAACTATAGGCCAGATTTATTTCTCACACTAGGCTAACGCCAGCAGCATCTTACTGCCTCATGTTTGCAAATAAGTAACATTGTCATGGTTAGTTTGTAACCATCTGGGATCTATGGTCACATTGATCATAACGCACGGCGTGTACAGGAATAAACTGTGTATTGGAATGATCTAGGGCCTATGATAGCTGAGCCCTGATAACTCAAGAAACGAGTGATGTCTAATCGACTAAATGACAATGCAGGTCCCTAGTTCTGGTAGCCGAATTCCAGCCCTGGGACATCTCTCCCCCTCAACAACCAGCTTTTATTAATCCGTCATCCATGTCTTTCCCACAAAAACACTATCTTACCATTCGGCATAAGGTCCACCACCATTTTTGGATAAGCAATGTTTGAACAGCCAACTTTGGTGCCACAGTAGCTCTCACATTCTGAAGGCACGACACAAGCCACTGTATCTAAGAAAAAGATAACAAGACAAGGTTAGCTGGAGTCATAGCAGCAAGTTACCCATAAATCAAGAGAAGTTCCCAAACCTATCTCCATGCTAAACCACTGGATTTATTTGCCAAATAAACAAATATTTATTTTATTTGTCTCACGCTTGACTCTGCAGCTGTGGGAAGGAATTCCATTCCTGCATCACCTCTTTCCAGTGATGATGGTGCTGAGGTCAAGCCACTAAAACTGTATCCACAGAGCTGCACAGGAGGCCAGGGCAAAGTTAGCGTGTGCTCTGAAAGGCCCTCTCCTGCTCAGAGTCACCTGCTCTCCTGCCTGCTGTTGTACACATAGGTGGCGAGTTATATAGGCTCATGGTGCCCGGGCTCCAGCAATATTCAGGGCCCGGGGGCCCAGCTCCACCAATGTTTGGGGCCGGGTCTCTCCCCCAGCCTTCTGCTGTCCCTGCGCACCTCCCCCAGTCCGGGAGCACAGTGTCCCTGTCTCTCCCCTGCAGCTCCCTGCTGCCTCCCTGCATCAACTGCCACCACAGGGTCCTAGTTCCCCCCATCCACTAGTGGCAGGGCAGGCTGCCCTTCCTCCTCAGACTCTTCCCTTTTCTGGCAGGACCTTCCACCAGCACAGGGCCCCCGCCCTGCCTGCAGTCACCGCTCCTGCCCCATGCTGGGCAAGAAGCAGCTCCATCCCTCACCCCCAAGTGAGGCTACAGTGAGGGGCATCAGCAGAGGAGGAGGCGCACGTGTGATGGCAGTCCCCCCTCCCCCCCTCTCCGGCCCCACCGCAGGGGAGGCCAGGGGGCTTCCTGGACCTGAGAGGGGCCCTAGGAGCACGTGCAGTGACAGTGGTGCGGGGTGAGTGTGCTGCCGGGGGGGGCCCTCCCGCAGAGTTCACTGCTGCCAGCGGGGAGAGGACTGGGGGGAGTCCTCCTCTCTGGCCCCATCCCGGGGCAGCCTGCCTGCACCCCAAACTCATCCCCAGCCCTGCCCCATCCCAGAGCCCGCACCCTCAGCCAAAGCCCTCACCCCCACACATGCCAACCCTCTGCCCCAGCTCTGAGCCTCTCCCACACCCCAAACCCCTCAGTCTCAGCCCTCATCCTCCCACACCCTAACTCTCTGCCCCAGCCCTGAGTCCTGCATCATGAACTCCTTATCCCCAACCCCACCACACACCCCAACCCTCTGCCCTAGCCCCGAGCATCCTCCCAAACCCTTCATCCCCAGCCCCACCCCACAGCCCTCACCCCAGCACCCCCTCCCTCCACACCCCCTCATCCCTAAACTCCCTCCCAGAGCCTGCACCCCTTTCCACCCCCAAACGCCCTCCCAGAGCCTGCACCCATTACCCCCTCCTTTACTCCCAGCCCAGAGCCTGCATTCCACCCCCTTCCCACACACCCTCTCCTGCCCCCAAACTCCCAGAGCCTGCACCCCAGCCCTCTGCACAGCCTCCCAGAGCCTGCACCCAAACTCCATCCCAGAGCCTGCACCCCTCACACCCTCCTGTACCCCCACCCTTTGTTCCATCCCAGAGCCTGCACCCCTCACCCCCTCCTGTATCCCCACCCTTTGTTCCATCCCAGAGCCTGCACCCCTCACCCCCTCCTGTACCCCCACCCTTTGTTCCAGTCCAGAGCCTGCACCCAAACTCCATCCCAGAGCCTGCACCCCTCACACCCTCCTGCGCCCCTACCCGGAGCCTGCGCCCAGCACCCAAACTCTCTCCCAGAGCCTTAGGCGGGGGAGGAGGGTGCAGTTTGGGGGGGGGGGCAGGTTCGAGGCACCACCAAAATTTCTACAAACCTGCCACCCCTGGTTGTACACAGAGGTCAGCGTGAAGGGAAAGAACAACTGGCACTGCAATCACACTGAGCTTAGGCAGCCTGCAAATCACAGGCATTTCCATGAGCTGAAAACACTCCTCTGTGGGATCCAGGCACAACTCCCTCTGCCCCACAAAATGTCAGTCACAGACAGGAGTGTTTCCCCCCCGCTCAGTGAGTAACAAATTCCAACAAAGAGGGGACACACTCTAGGCCCTGGTCTGCACTGGGTCGGGGGTTGACCTAAGATATGCAACTTCAGCTATGCGAATAGCGTAGCTGAAGTCGGCGTATCTTAGGTCGACTTACCTGGCCGTGAGGACGGCGGCGAATTGGCCGCTGCTGCTCCCCCGTCAACTCCGCTTCCGCATCTCGGGAGCTGGAGTTCCAGAGTCGATGGGGAGTACGTTCGGGGATCAATTTATCGCGTCTAGACGAGACACGATAAATTGATCCCTGATAGATCAATCACTACCCACCCATCCAGCAGGTAGTGAAGACCTGCCCCTCGATTCCTGTCCCCACAAGGGACAGTGATAGCATCACTGGGAGCCCTGAGCATGGGAAGGAGAAAGAGCAGTGTCTTCTTACTTTGTGGGAAATGCTGGTCTGTGTATGTTTTCATGGTCTGAGTCAGGAGAGGGACTGAAGGAGCTGGGGGGTGGGGGGGAACAGGAAAGAGAAAACTGAATGGGGCTGGAAGAGGAGTGATAAGAGAATGAGGGGGCTACAATTCTAGGTCCTACCTGTGTACAAAATCCGACTGATCATCCCAGGCATCACCATCAAAAACATGGGCAGCAGCTTCAGGTACCCACACATGACACAGCCAGCCTTCACATGGGACATGTTCTTGGCTGAGAGGCATCGTTGAACAATAACCTGTCAATGAAACAGTAGATGTGAATGACTCCAGCTTTGTCACCGACACACTATGCCAGGCATACCAAGGCAAAATGACTCTGTTTCAGCTGTATTCCAGTGAGAACTCTTTGCTCTTGCTCATAATTAGAAAAATACAAGGGCATTTGAAGGCCTGAGAACACATTTAAATGTCTAAAAGTAAATACTCTACTGTCTAATGTATGTTTAACCTGTGAATCTCCGTCACAGGATATTGTTGAACCAAATAGCTTATTAAGAGTCAAAAGGGACTAGACATTTATATGAATAAGAACAGCAGACTCTATTAAACTAGCTAGGTTACAGATGATAAAGGCTCTCAATCCTTGTGCTCCAGAGAATAGGTTGATCACCAGCTGGGGGCTTAAAGAATTCCCCCCAACTCACACATGGTTTATAATACTGCACAATTACAGTAGTGCAGTCTCCTTCCTCTAAAACATCCCAATTTGGTCATTTTTGGAGACTAGATGGACCACTGACCTAGACAGAAGGAAAGGAAAGGAAAACACATGGACAGTCCTGCACCATAGCACCTGATGAGGGGACAGACACATACACAGAGCAACTGTCCAGCATTCTTTATGCAAGAGATTAAAGCAGCACCAGTGCTCCCAGTCCTGCCAGATCACTCCCGAATGGTGTGGCACTTTTGGGGGGAGCTGGAATGGTGTCTTGAGGCACTTTAGTACTACCTTTCTGGCACTTCTCAAGTATTGCACTTGCCCCCGAGCAGCCCACATAGACAGAGTAGATATGCCTAATATGGCTGGATGGGAAGCCAAGTCTATACCCAGATTGATAAAGGACATATGCATGTAGCTGTCCTATTAAGATGCCCATTTTTTAAAAATTGGACCGTAAATGTTCATCCAGCGTGTCGTAAGAAAGGGAAAAAAAACATCACACACACAACATATGTCCAGAATGGCATGAAAAAAAAATAGTAAAGGAACATACACATCCTATTCACTTAACATATGAGAGGCTGAGAATCAAAAAGCTATAGAGAAAAAAAAAAACAATTTCCTCTTAGGAGATAATAGCCATTTTTATGGCACAGGGTTGGGGCAAGAGATCAATCCAACTACACTGCAAATTTTAGACTGCTCTGAATTTCCCAGTTGTTGCCTTTACGCTACCTGATCTGTGCACCAGTACCACAAAGCGAGGATGCTCAAGCCAAAGACAAGGCCCGGCCATGGCAGATCTCCAGTGATCGGGTCTCGGAAGATGTGGAAAGAATCTGCCCGAGGGGTGTAGCATTTTGGGTCAATGGTAATGTTTCCATATGAGATGTTGTTTGGAATTGCATTCATATATTTCTCCATAAAGGCCTCATATCCTCCTACTTTGGAAAATGCTGAAAAACAGAATGTAACGACACTGATCATGGTACTGGACGCTTGAAATTCCCGACGGAGCTGAAGAATCCAAGGAGAAAACTCCATGCTATCAATGTGATAAACCTGCCCCAATAGAGATCAACATTGTCAGAAACATCAAAGTATGTGCTGTGAAAACTCATTAGCAAGAAGCCACACTGGCTTTCCTTCTCGGGTCGCTATGGAGCTCTAAAAGATTCCTTTAGACTCCACTGTCCTTTTTATGCCCCAGATCCAAGCTTCCACTTTGCCAGGTATAATATCTCCAGGCTCCCTGACCCAGGTGAGGACCAGAGGCAGAGTCCACCTGATTAAGTCAATCTGAAATATTGTTTATTGTGAAGCAGGGGGTCAGCTTCTTTCAGTGAAAAGCTTACACAGAGCAAGTCCAATGAGAAGCCACAAGGCAAGGAGGAGGAAATTACAGCCTCACAGGGCTTTACTACTTCCTCTTGATTAATTATGTAGCCTGAACCCTAAATACTAGGGTTCCATTTCACAGGATGGACTGCATTTTAGTACCTATATGATCTCATGGACACCTGGCCTCCCATTCACAGTAACACAGCCCCTATTTTGGGGAGTTCTATAGGCTGTTATACAGGAGGTCAGAAGAGATGATCACAATGCCTTGGAATCACATCCCTATGCCTTCTTGCCTTGGAATCACATCCCTATGGCAACTATAGAACTTGGTCAGGATGACAGGAGGGCTTAGCAATGTGGCTCTTCCCCTTCCCTGGCAAATACATGAAGCAATGGGAGTTCCTTAGCTATTAACCTGTCAGGACTCCACAATGCTGGATCCATTTCCACAGGACACTGGGGGCTGTAGCTGATCATTCCAGCTCTCGTTCATCAGATTTACATACCAAATCCTGTGAGAATAAAGGATCCCACCAGCATGATGATGGTCTGTAAGGTGTCTGTATAAATCACAGCAGCAAGGCCACCTAAAGGCAAAGAAACGCCATTACATGAGCCTCTCTGCTAATGCCTTCATGGGAATTGGCCTCTTCTTGGCCCTCTCTCTCTCTCTCACACACACACACCTCTCCCCTTTCATGCTCTCATTTCTTCCCATTTACTCCCCACTTCCATTTTCATCTTTCTGGATCCCCTTTTAACTTGTTTTTAATTTATCAATCCGTTCCACAAACTCACCTGTGATCGTGTAAAGACCAGTAATACCCAGCAGTATGATTATGGCCAAATAAAGATTCAACCCCATGGCTATTTGGATAAATATAGCTCCAGAGAATATATCTGCCTAATAAAAGGAAAGATGACAGTTTAGGGAATGCTTAAGATAAAAATAACATTTCTATTAGTATCTATTGATATCCTCCCCACCCCAAAGCTCTGCACACAAAAATAAAAGCACATGCAAAATAAAGACAGATCCTGTCTCCTTGGTCACCCAGACCTGCTTTATTTTAACTGCCAGCTGCTTTTTGAAGATCACTTCTTAGTCTCTGCACTTCTTACAATAGTTTCCAGAAATGTGTCAGTGATTCCCTCCTAGCCAAATCTGGCTACCCACCTCTCCAGGCCTGTGAACTTATGTATGGGGAAACAGTTCAGCAAAGTTCATGAGTAAGTCCTGGAATTTTAGTTACCAACACAGCTGCATCAATGCAAACTCCTAAAGTAGACGTAATTTGAAACCAGAGTAACCAATTCCAATCCAAATCATGCCTCACCGGTGTAAATCATCTCTCTATTTGGGGTTGGCATGTGCAACAGTGCAACATGCTGCACCAGTGCTAAGGGGGGATTTTCCAAAGTGCCTACATGCCTTAGGAGCATATGCCATTAAAAGTCATCTCACTGAATTTGTGCTCCTAAGTGAGCTGTAGCTCACGAAAGCTTATGCTCAAATAAATTGGTTAGTCTCTAAGGTGCCACAAGTACTCCTTTTCTTTTTGCGAATACAGACTAACACGGCTGTTACTCTGAAATAAATCACTTAGGTGCTTTTGAAAACCTCACCCTAAAATCCCAGGGCAGACAAGGCTTAAGAGGGATATTTAGTCCTCAGCTCTACTAGGCTTTAGGGCAAACATTTATTCAAGGAACATAGGGAGCGCATCTAGTCAGGTATTCTGCCACAAGGAGAGAGGTAATATAGAAGTCATGCATCTGGCTAATTGTGCCATGCTGTACATAACACTAAGCACATTTTACCTTTCAAGCCCTTTACAATCAGTAAGTAACATATCCTCATGACTCCCCAGTCAGCCAGGAAACTGAGTATCATCCTCCGCATTTTATAGACAAGAAAACTAAAGCAAAAATATAAAGAGGCAAATCCATTCCACAGCACTCAGTCTGAGTAGCTGGGCAGATGCTGGAGGAAGAAAACCTCTCCCCCGGCCACTGAGAAAACTCCACCTTGAGACTGTCACCACCTCAACACCCTGCCCCTTCACCCCTTCTGCCTTCAGGGCAAGGAGGAGACCTGTGCAGCTGCAGATCCTCCAGCCCTGCTTCCACCACCAGCCACTGCATGCTCACATGCACAGTCCCACCAACAAATTCTGCCCCTGCCTTTGCCATCTGCTGCCATGGAGGCTGGGGTTAAGATGCAGGATTTTGTAGAGCATAATTCAATAAGCTAACTGTGAGACCATGCCCCTCTAGGGGAGAGGATTCTTTCCTGACCCTCACAGAGGATCAGCTTATGGCCCAAAGCTTGAGGTTCATTTATTTTTAGCATTAGCTTAGTTTGCATGGCTACAAATATTAATGGTCATAAAATGATCCCACAAGAAAACCTAGTTAATCATATAACATCCTGAGCAATACATAAACTTCTTGGATTTGCTTAATCACCTTCCGAGTTCACCTCTTCTACCTCCCAGTTACATTAATTTACGACTGATATTTTCTTGTTACTCCATTAACTCTCTTTTATGGATACCATTAAAACCTTATCCTATCTTCTCCATGCAAAAAACAAACAAACAAAAAAATCACTCCAGGGCTACACACACGTAATTCAGGAACCAATAGGCAAAGCAACATATGACATGATTGTCCTTTTACAACTACCATTACAGCTAAAGAATTCCAAGGAACACTTGCAATGCATTCATAGACTCAGGTTTTTAATTCCTTCAGACTATGGGGGAGCATCCAGTTACTTGTTTCACCGGATACTTAGACTTAACTTAGTCAGTTACTGGTCACCAATGCCTTGCTACACTACATGATCTTCTTAAAATTGCCCACCTTTTCTACTACTGGTGACAGCAATGGTAGAAGTGCTAGTGGTTAGCAACTCTAACCCTGAAAGCTACCATGGCAACAGCTCACACAGTTGAGCGACCATGGAACATACATACAATATGGCATGTTACATATGGTGTTTGAGATTTTGCCCAACGTGGCATAAGTGAGGAAGCAGCATGTAAGACAGGCACCATGAATGCAAGATCCCTCTGAGATGCAAATATAAATTGCATCAACACTGTGAGTCAAATTGTTAGGTGTGACTTGCTAGCAAGCATAAGAAAAGCTGTCCTTTCAAAGCAGGATGACAAAAGCCCTAGGAACTGCAAGGCAGGGAGTGTCTGCTAAGGCAGCAGCCAGGGAAGCAGCATGCAGATCTCTCAAATCTCTTGGAATGTTTTGATTCACGCTGCTGGGCAGCACTGGGTCTGCCTCTGGCACCTGGAGTGAAAGATTCCCACAGAGCCATGTGCAGCTTGCTTCCCATCCCGCATATGCCACCTGCAATGATGCCTAGATAGCACAACAGATGAATCTACATAAACAAAATCTCTTATGTACAAGAGCTGGTGTCCACTGGCCTTCTGTATCTATCCTTTTCCTGGTGACATGCTGGACTGATGGGCACTTGGCCACGCAGCACGGTGCACTGCCAGTGGCCAGATAGCTCCTTGCCATGGCAGCAGGCATACCTTCCGGCCCCTTGCTGTGCACCAAATACATCTGAATTTCCACAGTGGTCACCACTGGACAAGCTATAACTGGAGTGGCATTTGGACTGGGCTGCCCCTCTTATTCTGGGGCATATTGTGGGCCATTCTTCTGGGTTAGCTGGGTCCATGACTTTGTTCCACCTGAGCTATACCAGCCATCAACAATCCCCTAACTTACAGCAAGTTAATTTAATGCCTTTCCCCTCTTACACCACTGAACATGATCTTATCCTTTTGGCCTAGACATGCCCTTTTCTCTGAAGGGCACAAAGCTTTTCTTTCCCCTGCTCCCCACTTACACCTTCCTTTCAACTTTTACATGACTGCACTGGTGCATCTCAATGTTCATGCTTTGCCCAGTTACACAGCTCAGGGGCGTAGGCATAACTGAATAAGATGCCATTTACAGTACTACAGGATTTGGCTCTTTAGTGATCAAGATGCTAGCCTGCACCTTCAAAGCTCTCTTCCTCCTCTCATTTCCTCCAACTCCTTCATTCTACCTCTCTCTCACCTGTCTCCTTCACCCAATCTAGACTGCATGTTACACCATATGCTTCACACATTATTAATTTGAATCGTTCGCCCTCCCCTTCCACCAAGCAGATGCTAAAGACCCACCTATTCCATGAAGCATCACAGCTTTGTTTGTTTTCTTTTGTGCTCTATTGTATCTGCCACATCTTTAGTTCATCAGCAAGTGGGTGTTGGGTGTCTTGCACACTACTGTACACTAACAGTGCTTCATAACAAATAAGAATGGGAACTGAGTCCTAATAAACACAATACTGTGCATATATTCAATGAAACACAACATGTAAATCAAACCTTCAGTTCGTTCTTTAAGACAAATCCTGCCCCCTTTTCTACAGCTGCAGAGGACTACAATGCAGCAGAAGCATTAGGTGCATTCAATACAGTGAAAGATTGTGAGGCACTCAGATCCTACAGTAACAGAGGCCATACAATTACCCAGGAGTCAGACAGACAGAGGAAGAGTGCTTCTGCTGTATCAGGAGGAAGGGCGTGATTTGGGGAATTTATGCAGGAGCTAATACACCGAAGTGCCAGAAACCAGTTCCATAGTGGCTCCCTGTGAGTACTTGTGCAGCTCTGTTTGTGGGCAAGGTGGGATGATTGTATGGTAGAGCCAGACTGGGACTAATTGATCTGTTGCTGTGCAGACCCACCAGCTATTGCCCTGCTCCGCACTGAAAACTGAGGGTGCAAGAACATTAGGGGCTACTTCATTTTCAGGACTGTAATGATAACTGCGAGTGAGTGGAGCCACTCCATTTGCTTGGGAGGAGGGTCCCTCTGCTGGAGTTGATGGAAATCCCCAATGCAGAGTACCGATACGTAAGTTGGACACAGGGAGGAAATTTACCCATAAAAAGGGAATTATTTTTGTGAATCTGGCATATAGGTAGCAAGTGATCATACATAACACAGAAATATAGATATAGGTTTTGGATTAGAATGATGAGCCATTTATCTGTATGGATTCACTCCACATCCACTAGAGTTGAAGGAGTGATACCATCCCCTGTGAAATGAATGCAGCATTTCCAATTACAGCTGCATATAAAAACAGTTATGCTGACAGCACCTCACGGAAATAAACAGAAAGCAAAATCCAATTTGCGGGTTCTTGATAGTCCCAGCCTGTTTAATTTGTAACCCTGATAAGAATCAGTTATCATAAGAGCATGAGAATGGGAGCAAAAGGCCAGGTCTTTTAGGTTAAATTATACTATTATCACTCAGTTCTTATGTAGAGGGCAAAGAGTAAACTTCCATGGCAACTGCAGGAAAACAACAGAGCCAGGTCTGCCTGACCTATGGACTTGGATGGAGATTTAATGGTTTCAAAAGGGGAGGAAAATCACAGCTCTCTTCACTACTGCAGTGCCTCATTAGCCACACTTCATAGCTCAAGCTGATCCACAGAAAGACTCTTCCCTGCCTTCCCTTCCTGCCCTTGCTTTTCTCACTCCTGTATTTTCTAACCCCATCTCTCTGTCTCTTCTCCTCATCTGCCTTCCTCTCTCGTTTCTCATTTTTGCTTCATTAATACTAACAAGCTGCATGTTCAGCTGATGGAAGGATGAGTGTGAAAGCGGGGCCAAAAACCCAAGACCTCTTTTCTCCTACGGGAGCCAAACGGAGTTACTCATACCCTGCGGCAGGAGAATCTAGCTCAGGAGTCAGAATAGGAGACCTTGGGCCCAGATGATACATAGGAAGCTCTAAAATTAAATGCCTAAATGGGTGAGTGAATGTTCCTGGGTAAGAAGCAGCAATAGTTACCATTGGAGGACAAAGGCAGAGAACTGGGAACTAATGCTAATGGCTTGAAACCTTCTCTTCAATTTCTATCAGTGATGCCTGAGGTGGAGCATACTGTATGTAGTACAAGGCTCCAGCCAGCCTGACCTGTTCCAGAGGGAAGCACATGTGGAAACAAAATCCTGGAAAAAGAAAGCTAAATCATAACCACCATCTAGAGAAAGAGTCCCCTGGTATAATCCAACATGCGCAGACAAACAGAGCTGTAGAGCTGGTTTGGATGGACAGCACTGCTAGAAGGAAGAGTGACAACATGGAAACAGTTTTTTATCTACCTAAATTAAGTCCAGGCACCAAATGACAGACAAGTGAACCAGACAGGTAGAGAGTTTTCATACAAGTGTAAAATAATCATACAGATAGGAACTTCACTAAGAATAGAGGAAATGGAAAAGCTTAACTCACCGAGATCTTGGTGAAAATATAGAGGAGCAGAGAAAGGACGGACAGATATATCTGAATCCGTTGGCCACCAAACCGCTTCTTGAGATATTCTGGCATCGTCACCACCTGCAGAAGGAGAGGGAGAAGAATTCATACTACGAGCAACAGACAACTAACATAGTTCATCAGCAAGCTCTGCCGCCCAGGTACCACACTGATAAGTGCACTAGAAATGAAGAAGGCCAAGGAGCAGGGGCCTCCGGGAAGCACAGAAAGGCAGAGTCAAATGCTGCTCATGTTGGAATCTCAAAGACAAAGAGACCTTGTTGTTTAAATATATACAGACATAACTTATGTAGAATGCCTGACACATCCAGATCTCTTTCTTCCCATTGAGAATGGTTTTGTGATGGTGCTAGACCCACACACAGCAAAATGAAACAGAAAGATTAAAACAGGGAACCATAAAAGATGTAAGCCAGTGCCTATACATACCCCAGCCTTGACGTAGATGGGAACAAACAACCAGCCAAGAACCACCACAATTATCAGGGCCTGTAACCAAGGAAAGAACAGCTGAATTAGCCTCTGGTCCTGTCACCAGCACTTTCCAAGGCCACATATCAGGCTGAATGCCAACTATAAACACTGCAGTGCGTAAAATGGTGGCTAGTGAAGGCACCTCAGCCTCATTCTTTCTACCTGTCTAGCATTTTACAGTTTACCCTAAAACTCCAGGGGTGAAATCTTGGCCTTATTGAAGTCAATGGGCGTTTTGCCGTTCAGTTGAATGGAACTAGAATTTCACCCCAGGTGTCCGACAGACGCACTCGAGGAAGAGTCCCCCACTGCAGCAGAGTTACTGGAATATCAAAAAGCAGATTGCTTTGGCATTGGCCCCCCATTGGTCCGTCCATGGGGAATTACATTTGTAGTGTGTCTAATGCTGCTCCTAAAACGTCCCCGTCGCTGTATCCCATGGCAGCTCCACTAGCAGCAGCAGCAGCCGCCAGCGCTTGAGTGTACGCTAGATGCAGGCATTTGAATCGCGGTTTCACCAGTAGCGTAGCTGGGGGGGGGGAGTGGGGCAGGGCCGCCGGAGATGCCCGGAGCGAGGGAGGCCCGGCCGCCGGGGCGCCGCCGGCTGAGTAAAAGCGCCACAGCGGATGGAGCCTTTTTTTTTTTGATCGCTCCCCCTGTTCCCTCCCCCTGGCTGCGCAGCTGGGCTTCACCTAGCCTTGCCCCGAGCAGGTCTGGACAACGTGGTGATTAGAATAGCAGCAGCCCACAGAAGCCTTTGTATGGTGACAGATGACTATTGCTACCACCAGGAAACTGAGAAAGTCTAGCGCTGCCCCGGCCCCCTTTACTTAGTCCCTCGATCCAGTCTCCAGGCAGCCACCAGTACAGGAAACATTCCATCCCCAAATCCAAGCGAGTTATGATCACGTCTCATCTGTGATTAGCTTTGCTAGCCCCAGGTGTTGGAGAGTGGAGCTTATTTCCATATTCTTGTCACCAACCAGACTAACCCACTTCTTTAGATAAAATGCAGGTGTAACTGACGACCTTCTACAGTGGGGTTCAGTTATAGGATCATAGAAATGTTGGGATGGAAGGGACCTCAAGCCCAGCCCAGCCAGCCCCCTCCACTAAGGCAGGACTAAATATACCTAGACCATCCCTGACAGGTGTTTGTCAAACCTTTTCGTAAAGTGACCGGGATTCCATAGCCTCCTTTGGAAGCCTATCCTTATAGTTAGAAAGATTTTTCTAATATTTAACCTAAATCTCCCTTGCTGCAAATTAAGCCCATTACTTCTAGTCTTACCTTCAGCGGACATGGAGAAAAATTGATCATGGTCCTCTTTATTATGGCCCTTAACATATCTGGAGACTTATCAGTTGCTTCTGTCTGGACTCTCTCCAGTTTGTCCACCTCTTTCTTAGAACGTGGAGCCCAGAACTGGACTCAGCACTCTAGCTGAGGCCTGCTTATGAAGTGGCCTTGCGCATTATAAAAGATGTACTGTATTCTCCTGTATGGAACTATATACTGTCAAGTATGGTAGCGCGGTTGTACTATATACTGTATATTCTGTGTATCAGATATTTTGTTGTCGATCATACATCATAATTTTTCTGACAATATTAGCAACTTGTTTTATGCAGAGCTGTGCACATTCAAACAGATAAATACAGGCCAAAATGCTGCTCTCAGAGCTGCGTGCTAGATCTCTCATCCACACACTAGTTCTTTATTGCATCTCTGAAGTTCTACTCATATATCAAGCACAGGATATGCTAGAGATATTGGACCCGATTCTGCTCTCTTTTACACTGGTGTAAATCAAGAGTAACTGCACTGCAGTCAATGGAATTACACTGACACAAAGCCAGTATAAATGAGAGCAGAATCAAGTCTAGTATCTCTTTTGGTAAGAGAATAAGTGTGGATCCAAGAGCAGCATTTTTCCTGTGTATATTAGCATGTTTATCAGTTCCATTGTGTTGTAAGTATTGCAATGAACTAACTGGTTGGCTTGTGTGTGCATGCATGTACTCGTATACACATGCATCACTGTCCTCTACCGGACAGAATCAAGACAATTCAACAATGTGTCTTAGGCTGCCTGCTACTATCAGTTAGGGGAGAGTTTCCCCTTGAGCTCAAGTCCTGTGCTCATGAAAGAGGATCTGGATTCTATCCCTTCAGATGTCATGAAGATCCAGTAGCCTTGGTATGGAGCCTGGATTTGTTAAAGCAGTGGCAACATAAAATATTAAAAGGTGACAGCTAAACTGATTCCAATGTGTGCATCTCTCTCAAGTGAACTTCTACTCCCTTCCCCATGCATAAAGAAGTTCAAAACAATATGGGGCCCTATTTTATACCTAACACAATTCTATTTTTAAGAAAACCTAAGGAGGGGCTTGCAGTGGAGTGCAACAGTCGGAGGCATGGCCAATAATTCTTCCAGTGTAAGGATCCAAGGGAAAACACAGGGCTAGATCTCAAGGACTGTGCTCATCCATGTTCCCTCCTCACGACAGGTCATCCAGAGCACCAGGTAAACAGCAAAATGCTCTGCAAGGAGCTGTGCCCCCAGTTCCTCTCCAGGGAGTACTGATGGACGAGAAGCTAGTGCTGTTCAGGGCAGCAATAACATGTGACGCAAACTGCAAGCTATGACCTGCTGATCTGAGAGGGGAAATACAGCATAAAGGGGGTATTCCGCAACTCCTGCATCTCCTCCTGGTGCACATATTGAATCCATGGAGGGTTACAGGTAGACTGACTGAGGAAAGAGGCACATTATCTTACCCTTTTCCAAACCCTTACGGCCCTTCTGCCAATTCCAGGCAGTAGTTGTAGTCATTTTAATCAAGTGAGGTGTTTAGTTATAGACAGGCTCTGCCCCCAGCAGGCTGAGAACAGAACAGCACTGATGGTGGATTACAAGGTAGCCTCTGAACTCCTTCGCAGCTGTATCTTAGCGGGAGGGGAATGAGAAGACAGAAGGAGAAAAGGGCTCTTCGGATCAGGAAAGGAGTGAAGACAACATTGAATTCCTCACTGCTGGGATGAAAGCAAAAACGATGACGACTCCCCCCAACTCCTACACACCACGCTCCCAGAAAAATGATGCAGAGGAGATCATGATTTCTTAATATAGCAATGGGATTTTCTTTCCCCACTGGCTGGACTGCAGGTGGGAGTGGTGAGAGAGGCTGGGGGAATGGGAATTGACATAAAGTGTTCTTGTGGTGGGTGATTCTGCCAGTCGCCAGCCCTGAGGGTTCTGACAGCATTAGACTGAGCTGGATTTTTAGACAATGTGGACTTACCTGATCTCTTTGGATACCCCTGGGGTTAAAATTTTATTTAAAATGTGTACCACTTACGTTCCATTCGAATCCTCCAGTGGCGATTCCTGCAGCTGCTCCTGTGCCTGCCAAGCCCACAAAGTGCCCACTACCAATGTTACTGGCAAACAGAGAGGCACCAATCTGGAAACAGAAGAACAGACATGGATCATAGATCTTGGGCTCAGGACAAATCTCTTAAAAACCGATGCTTATTTAGTGTTTTCAGATTTCCTGTGTGTCATCACTTAGGGATCTGAGTGCCCAACAACCTTGAAGGTCCCCCAATATTTTCTCCTCTTAAAACCCAACATTGCAGCCATCATCCCTACAAGCAAGGAGGACATAACAGGATGTTGCATATTAACTCAGCCAGAGGGGAAACTGGTAAATGGTAATACTCCCTCTTCCGCTGCAGGTGCGCACGTGATCTCAACCCATACAGAATTACGACTCTTTGGAGAACTTGTCCAATTAACACATGGGTGATGTATTCCAGAATGAGCAGCCAATGGTCTAGGCCAGAGGCCCTGGCAGCTAGGGCAAAAGGCTGATGTGATATGTCTAACCTGCTCCAAGGACAAGTAGCTGATTCCTCCAGGAAAGTCAGATATAACTCTTTGGACTTAAGATCCAAAAGTCATTAAGGCTGGCTTCTATCTCCAGTGGGAAACACCCTTTTCATACTTGGTTTGCTTTCATCAAGGGGGCAATAGGTTAACTGAATTAGATTCTGACACTGCTGTCATAGGTACAGCACTGCACCCATGGGCATCTAAAGTACTGATCAAGGATTTGCAAATGAGGCATGTTGATATCTAAGACCTGTAAACATTCTGTATCGATCCCACAGAGAGAGTAATGGGTAGAATACAGCAACTGCTGACTGGAGAGATGCCAAAGAAAGAGAAAGAAATTAGCGCTGTATTAAAAATAGACAACAGCAATTCACAGGAGGGAGATCATACCTAAAAAGTCTCATTCTTCATCAAACAACTCAAAGAGACAATAGGAGAAAATGGAGAGAGAAGCTGTGAACATCATTTCCCTGTACTGAGAGTTTTGGAGGCAGTATAACACAGCAAACCATCAGAGGGGTAGCCGTGTTAGTCTGGATCTGTAAAAGTGGCAAAGAGTCCTGTGGCACCTTATAGACTCACCCATGAAAGCTTATGCTCCAATATGTCTGTTAGTCAATAAGGTGCCACAGGACTCTTTGCTGCTTTTACAGCAAACGATGATTTACAAGGTCAGGAACTGAAGTATTAGGGGTCAGACACTTGAATAAGGGGCGAAAAAAGACTGGCTTGGATATTACAAGCAGAGGGTACTCATGAGCTGCAGTGATTAGAAATGAAAAAAGTCAGTCAGTGAAGTGTTTTTCCCCACGCCTGTTTATTCTTCAACATCTAGGAGAGACAAAGAAAGAAAGAAAGAAAGAAAGAAAGAAAGAAAGAAAGAAAGAAAGAAAGAAAGAAAGAAAGAAAGAAAGAATAAGGGAGGGGGTCTGAGTACTGACCAGTTGCCACTGCCCTTTGATAATTAAATATTATAATCACCTCTCAAATCTAATAAGAAAAGGAGTAGTTGTGGCACCTTAGAGACTAACCAATTTATTTGAGCATAAGCTTTCGTGAGCTACAGCTCACTTCATCGGATGCATACTGTGGAAAGTGTAGAAGATCTTTTTAAACACACAAAGCATGAAAAAATACCTTCCCCCACCCCACTCTCCTGCTGGTAATAGCTTATCTAATGTGTATGATAATCAAGTTGGGCCATTTCCAGCACAAATCCAGGTTCTCTCTCCCCCGCCACTTCATCGGATGCATACTGTGAAAAGTGTAGAAGATCTTTTTATACACACAAAGCATGAAAAAATACCTCCCCCCACCCCACTCTCCTGCTGGTAATAGCTTATCTAAAGTAATCACTCTCCTTACAATGTGTATGATAATCAAGTTGGGCCATTTCCAGCACAAATCCTGGGGGGGCGGGAACCGGATTTGTGCTGGAAATGGCCCAACTTGATTATCATACACATTGTAAGGAGAGTGATCACTTTAGATAAGCTATTACCAGCAGGAGAGTGGGGTGGGGGGAGGTATTTTTTTCATGCTTTGTGTGTATAAAAAAATCTTCTACACTTTCCACAGTATGCATCCGATGAAGTGAGCTGTAGCTCACAAAAGCTTATCCTCAAATAAATTGGTTAGTCTCTAAGGTGCCACAAGTACTCCTTTTCTTTTTGCAAATACAGGCTAACACGGCTGTTACTCTGAAACCTCTCATATCTAATATAGACCATTCACGTTAAAGGATCCCAAAGGGCTTTACAACACAGATATAGCGCTCCTGTGATTAACATACTTTCCTCATCCACTATATAGTCAGTTGGAATAAGTTTACATATCTATTGTAACTAGGGTGACCAGATGTCCTGATTTTATAGGGACAGTCCTGATATTTGGGGCTTTTTCTTATATAGGCTCTTCTATACCCCCCACCCCCGTTCCAATTTTTCACACTTGCTATCTGGTCACTCTAATTGTAACAGGTCTCAGAGTAGCAGCCATGTTAGTCTGTATCCGCAAAAAGAGCACGAATACTTGTGGCACCTTAGAGACTAACAAATTTATTAGAAATTTATTAAAAAACCAGTAGGAGAACACTTGAACCTCTCTGGCCACTCAGTAAAAGGTTTAAGGGTGGCAATTTTGCAACAGAAAAGCTTCAAAAACAGACTCCAAAGGGAAACTGCTGAGCTTGAATTAATATGCAAACTAGATACCATTAACTTGGGTTTGAATAGAGACTGGGAGTGGCTGGGTCATTACACATATTGAATCTATTTCCTTAAGTTAAGTTCCTCACACCTTCTTGTCAACTGTCTAAATCGGCCATCTTGATTATCACTACAAAAGTTTTTTTTCCTCCTGCTGATAATAGCTCATCTTAGCTAGCCTCTTACAGTTTGTATGGCAATTTCCACCTTCTCTATATGTGTGTATATATCGTCTTACTATATGTTCCATTCTCTGCAACCGATGAAGTGGGCTGTAGCCCACGAAAGCTTATGCTCTAATAAATTTGTTAGTCTCTAAGGTGCCACAAGTACTCCTGTTCTAAATGTAACAGGGAGAGATACTCAGTGTCTACCACTGAAAGAAAGGTTGTAGGGTCCTGGGGGGGTCTGAATGGTAGGGGAGGCAAAATCCCCCAAAACCCTAATCACTGCAGTGAGCTCTCCAATGTCACAACAAAAATTAACTCAATCTTTGATCTTCAATCTTAACTTAATTTCAGTCTTCTTTTTTGAACTCATATGGATAGGAAGGGGGGATTTTAGTATAGAAATTAGCTACTGAAAATGCAGCTTGTATTAGTTAGGATATGTCAAAGCCAGGAATACAGTCTCCAGCTCCTGACTGCCAGTATTGTGCTTTAATCACTAGATAGTTCTTCCAGACACATTTTATATGCAAGATATGCCATGCATGTAACAAAACTGAACAGAGAATCCCATAACTTCTTTCCCCATTCCTATTTTCCCCTCATTTCTTCATAGTGATCTCATGTTTTCTTTCAGTCTTTTTGTGAAGGAACAGCTCTCTCAGAACTACAGGGAATGTCTGTGTTCAATCCTGGATTTCCTTACACTTTTCCAATCAGTCCTGCCATCAAGAAACTTAACCTCTTTGTGACATCATAAGCATTTCCATAGTAATGCTTTGTGATATAACGAAACACTAGTGGCATCAGTGAATGAGTCAAAGAGGAAGAGCAAGCTAATTATAAAGATGAAAGCTCCTTCATGCGGCCAACACTATAACAGGGTTCAAAAAAGAACTAGATAAATTAATGGAGGATAGGTCCATCAATGGCTATTAGCCAAGAGGGGGAGGGATGGTGTCCCTAGCCCGTTTGCCAGAAGCTGGGAATGGGCAACAGGGGATGGATCACTTGATGATTACCTGTTGTGTTAATTCCCTCTGGGGCACCTGGCACTGGCCACTGTCAGACGACAGGATAATGGGCTTGATGGACCTTTGGTCTGTCCCAGTAAGGCCGTTCTTATGTTATCTTCTTAAAGAGAAGGGATTCATTGTCCCCACATACATTTGATTCTGGACTTCCCCTGTGTTTTCCCACCAGGGCCCCAGAGTGGGAATTAAGCTTTTACCTTCCTTCAGACCTGTGAAAACATCTAAGAATAACAGCTCAGCAATGACATTACATGCCAAGTTCTGAGAAGCTCAGATCATCTACAGCTCTCACTGAAGTCAATGGGAATTGTGGATGCCCAGTACCTCTCAGGATTTGGCCAATAGGCCTGATCATGTTTCCACTGAAGTCAGTTGCCACTGCCTTTAATGGGAAAGGAGCAGTCTCTAAAAGAGAGAACAGTGTTAATGTCTTTTAAAAGAGAAGTAGGCAGGCTTTTTCCCTCAAAGAGATTTTAGCTGCACGACCGGCAACTGGAACTCATTGCTGAGAAGGCTGGCTTCAGGGCAAATATGAATGCTTTTTATCAAAACTTTATTGATTTATTTGGGGGAAAATTCTACATCTTGACTTTTAGCTCATCGTCAGCTGTTGTTCACTCAATCCCCTATAAATAAATTATTAAACCTCATTTTGAGTTATTAGGAATGCAGTCCTCAGAAATGATTAACCACATTATCCTCTGATTCTCATTAAATCTGTTCCTTCCACCCTAGCTGCTGCTTTAAACGCTCAAAATAGCCTTTTTAACAGTCACACTGCACTTTCAACAGCTTCAGGTAACAAAAGCAGCCAAAGAAAAGCCCAAAAAAATGACAGCTGCAGCTACCGTGCCTGTAGTGCCCCTAAATGTGGGGCACATTGGCGCACTCACCCTCACAGGAACATTTCCAGCTTTACCCAAGCAGCTCTGTATTTTCCTTGTTAATTTTTAAAGAAAAATACAAAGCCAAACAAAAAACAATGCAACTAGCAAAAGATTTCAGTTAACACAACAGTCATTATTCCTAGTTTCAGAACAAAGCAATGCAAATATTTCAAATCTATTGCTTTGTATTTCTGTTTCTCTCTTTGATATAGGAAAGACCATCTGCTGGAGGATCATAAGATCAGCATATATTAGTTACAAATGTAATTAT